GGTGTTTCCCAAGCGAGAGAACCTGATGGAACACGCTGGGAGCCGGCGTCAGGGAGAGCATTAGGCAATGAGATGTGACAGTGGCTGTAATGCCAGGATATCCCTGTGCAGGCACAGGGAGTTGTTGGGCACTGGGCTGACAGCCCGACCTGACAAATGGTCTGTTTTCTGACAGTTTTTCTCTGCATACATAAAAAAAGCTTCACTGTAAATAGGCAAGAGCAGAGCTTTCTCAAAAACTCTCACAAATTTTAATGTCAATGATTTTTTTTTTTTTTCTAATCTTCTCTCGCTCTTCAGTAAATTCCAGGGTTGATTTTTTTTTCTTTTGATCAATCAGAAGAGACAAGGGAGCAAAATTAATAATTAAAAAACCTGTGAAAAGTACCTTGGCATTGTAAGTGGAGGGGAAAGATGATTGCAAGCTGTCTCCTGATTCTAAGACTCCCCCTAAAAAATAAAAAAAAATTACAAACTCAGGATAGATGGAAGCTCTGCAGATGTTGTAAAGAACGGTGAAGAAAACAGCAGTACTGCTCAGCAGGATTCTTTTGCACCTTTTAATTGCCTGACATAATGTGGCTAGCAGACACTGCTGCTCCGGGAAGCATCTCTTCCACATCCATAGTTTCTTCCCTCTTTGCATGACTGTGTGTGGGAGGGGGGATTAGTGCATGGCCATATGGGAGGGAGCTCACACAGAACAGTTTCTTACTGAGCCCTGCTGCAGGAGCCGTGGAGAGCAAAGGGAGCAGGAAATGATGGAGGAGGGGACAGGGCCCCAGTGGCACTTAATGGAAGGGATGCAGAAATTCCCTAAGGAACTGAGGGACTGAGGACATGGAGGCTGTGACCCCTCCATATGCCTCACAGACTCCAACTGGAGAGGCAGCTTTAGCAATTTATCAGTGTGAAGTCCAGAATGGTTTTTTTCCTACTTCATGGGATTTTCCACTGGACATGAAGGAGAAGTATGTGTATTACTTAAGAGGAAGCTGAAATGAAGGTTGGCTGATTGATAGTTCTTGTGTAAATCAGTAGGCTGGATCATAGCTTTATGTTCATAATAAAGTGAGGAATCAGCTACTTTCAACAACATCAATCCTCCTTCCTGTGTACCAAGAACCTGGAAACTCCAAATGTAAAGGGTTGGGGAGGGGGTGGGTTGTGTGGGAGCAAGCCAGGACTTTATATTCTCCTTGTTTCATTTATCCAGGATCAAATCCTCTTCCACATTTCTGAGGCAGCTGCAGACTTACTGACCTTGCATTCAGTCAGTGACCCATCAGTACTGCTTGGTTTAAGAGAGCTGTCCTTAAATCAGCATTCATCCTTCTGGCCAAAACTTCCCCATGGAAAAACCCCCATGCACAAATGAGCCCCAGCTTTTCATCTATAGAAGGAAATCTCAGTGACAGAATTCTTCAGATTGTCTCATATCAACAAAGGAGTGAGGTCCCACTGAAATCTGACATATCCTCTGGGATCTGTGGGAGTCAAGGACAGTTTTCCCCAGGCAGGCAGCTTTTCCAGCCAGCTCCCTGGCTGCATGGACTTTCTCTGAGACACTACATGGGAACTATGCAGAAGAGATGATATGGTCGTCTGCCAGTTAATTTTTCCTGGCATGTTTCCATGGGCCTGAAGAGCAGAAAACATGTGAAGAAGTAGGAGGGAAGATCTAGCCCTGTGTATTTTCCTGAAAAGCTAGCTGTGTTCCACACAGCGGCTAGTGGTTCTCTCCCTTTATATTTTTTCCTAATAAAAAGAGAAGCATGAAGCTACTTAAATTATTTTCCTAAAGATGTTTTCTGAGCTATTATGCATATTCTGTTATTGCTTTGAATGTGTTGCCTGTTTTATCACACAGTGGCATTTATATTCCCTTTATTCTCATGGGTCAGTAGACCAGCTAGGAAGTCAAATTGCCCTCATTCTGTTCTGCTTATGAAAGATAAGAGCTGGAAACTGGGTGATATCTTCTCAGTGTTCTTCTGTAAGCATCCATCCAACCTTATGCCTTTCCTCATGGCTCATTGTGCAGCAATTGGTTTAAATTCCTGTCTTCACTTACTTAATAGAAAGAAACCAGCAGAAGAGATTTATTAAATTGAAAGGGAAAAGTCTTGAGAGATGTTTCCTACCTGTAGGGATCCAAACATAAGCACTTAACTCAAATGGGATTAGAGGATACAAGGGAGAAACAGAAGAGCTTTTTTCTAAACTCCTAACTTAACGTTCTTTTTCCAAATATGCAGTGACATAAATTTCACATATGCACATGCCTATTCCCTCTGCCTTCAAGCAAAATTGATGCAGTCTGACTTTTTAATAATCTGTTATAAATAACTGCTAATAAAAAACCCGAAACACTAGAACCAAGGCATAATGAACCTGAATTTTATGTAAAAATAGATAAAGGAGAGAAATGTCTCTAGTGAGTGATCAGTTTATGCTGTGAAGCATCACCAACAGTAAGACTTCCACTGTCAGCACATTGTTATTATACATGTATGTGTCTAACTATTAAAAAAATCTTTCAAGTTCTTTGTTTCCTCTGCTGAAACTATTTTTTCTCTGGCACAGAGTCCCAGAGCCAAAGTACATTGCATTAATATGCATCTAAAGAGAGTAGAAACTCTCACCACCTGCAGATGTGTGTACCTACAAGTGCATTGGCCTCCTGGTGTCACTGGAGGATGATGATGATAAAGGAAAGAAGAAATTTGTCTCTCGTTCTCAGTAACATCAATAGAACAAAGCACTTAAACACACTATTTCTAGTTTCTCTTGTTTTACAGTCTTCTCTTGTAGTTCTTTTAAATTTTTCTTCATAATCCTTTTATTTTTTGATATGGATTTTGAGCCAGAAGGCCAAATGAAAAATAGTGTTTAATCTAAAGATCTATTGCTAAAAATATCATATTTTTCATGTTTTCCATATGTTCTGTTTAATTATATAGTACTTGTATCCGATTCAATTTTTATTGTCGTATGCCCGTAATTAATAATTACCCATAAGCAAACTGCTTAATTTGAAATTCATCTTCTAAAATCTGCCCCCAGCACCAAATCTACATTATATCATATTTCTCTTCTCTCCAGAAACCCCACCTGAGCTGCTGTTGATTGAGATAGAGGTTCCCAAATTCAGTTTGTTTGAACATTATGCAGAAGTCCAGAAGAATGGTCCTTGAGATGGACCATTGGAAAACTCTGATTTCTGACTCAAGTTCAGTATGAGCCTCTTCAATCTTATCTTCTCTACTGAAGACTAAGAGTATGTTGAGATACATCTAAAACAGAAAGCATCACAAAACAATGCAGCTATTTACCCTTCTCCTCCAGGGAGAACAAAATAATGAATTGGTCCAATTTCAGTTGCTGTTCATAATGTGCTGAAAAGTGTTCAGACTGCGTGTTGGCAAAAGCGATGTCATAAACTGTCATAAACTGCTCCAATCCTACATTATGTCAGAATAATTGGTGGGAAAGTATTTTCTCCTGCAGCTCTCAAAGGATAATTTATAACAAATGTCTAGTTTTTCAGGGTGAAATAATGCTCCTTTGAGTCCCAGGTAGGTGTTTTTTTCTGATATTACATGACATACAGAAGTAGGTGGAGAGGACATTTTAAAGTGATTAACTTAGATTTTAGCAGTGTGGAATGTTTACTTCTAATGTATTTGTAGAAAGTATTAATCACAAACTGTCAGAAACTCTCTTTACAAACCAGTATCATGGATTAGATTCCTTGTCCTCATGATGGATGGGTCCTCTCTTGAAAAGTAAAAGAAAACTCTGGAAACAGAGATCTCATCCTCTCACAGAGTCAGCATGTGTCTTTTTTTAGGTTTGTAAGACTCAGATTTCAATATTTAAATAAATCTTTTAATCTTTCCAAGGATCTCAATGGGAAAGGATGATATGCAAATGATAATTAGCTCATACATGTCAGGTTTGGCCACAGACTCAATCAGACTGCAGTAAAACTTTAGGTGAACACCAGCTGAAGTACAGCCATTGTATTTTTGAAATTTGCTTGCTGGATGTACTTTGAAGCCTTTCCAGAGTATACAGGAAAAATCTCTTCAGAATTTCCGAAGTTCAGAAACCATCTCCAGCTGAGTCACATTTTATAAACACTGGACCGTTTAGTCCAAGTGCTGCAGGTCAGATGATCTTTCTCAAGAAACAAGCCTTGCTTCTGTACACACTGACTTATTTACTTTAAAAATATATTTATTGCTGTGGGGTTTTTTCACCTATCAGAAGCTATTCTGATGAATGTTAAAGTGACTTTTCAGTATGAGAATTATAAGGATGTGAAAATGTCATTAATATCCTTTCTATTTAAAATTAAATTTTGAAAACTCTCCACTTTCCCCATAGTATTTGTATTGGTAAGAAAAGCCTTTCATGCCTTAAGACAGAATTTGGATCTAGAAATCTGGATTAATTTTATACATGGATTTCTCTGTTTGGGTAGAGAATACTGAAACCTTATGCAGGTGTTTTCTTAAATCTTGTCTTTTCCTTTGAAAGTAAATTGTCTAGAACAGTGTTTGCTAAGTCCTAACATTCAGCATTTTCTCAATATCCTAACTCTGTAACTGAACCCAATCATCCTGACAATACCCAAGATACACAGAAAAAGTGCAGTACTTGGAGTAGCTGAGGCATTACCTTTTTCTGTTTGTTTGAAAATGAGTGAGTATACTGTAACTCGGCTCTCTAACTTTCACTGAGGCAGGTATGGAGAAAAACATCATCCATCCACCTAAAAATAACATCCACCTAATTCCAGCTCCCAGCAATGCCCTGGGCATGCAGAAGCATGGTACCAAAGGGATTACCAGCAGCTCAGACTTACAGACAAGATCCACAGACCACAGCAGATGATGGCTTGCTGCTCTGCTTATCCCAAAGGTATTCCCAAGACAATTGTGTAAGTTGTTCTGAAAATGCTGGCTGTAAAACAAGGTAGCTTGTCTATCTTAGTAATTTAAGCAATGGTGTTTATTAAATCTAAAGCTGAACTGCCTGACCCTCTGTATCCTTCACAGCAAACCCCCCCAGTACATTAAAGGCAAGGCCTTTAGTGGAGCTGCACCTATTTATACCAGTAGAAATGATAGGCCTAGATTTTCAGACAAGGATTATTACCTGAAGATAAAAAAGCCATGGTAAATTTGCCTTGTTATGCATTATTTCTGAAAATACTTCACAGTGTTTTACAAACAGTACAAACAATTCTGGTTTCCCATCTTTGCAAGCAGTAACAATTATAATGGTAGGGGACAGAAGCAGCAAAGTAAAGCAGCCAAAGGAGCAAAGACTGAAAAGCAGAGGTACCAAGTCCAGTTACTTCCTATGAAGCTCAAGGGAATGATTAGGTGATATCCATAATTTCTTCTACATAGGAGAAAGCAACAGCCCAAGAAAATAAAATAAAGTTTGACAAAACTCCTAGAGAAGGGATGAGGCAGTTTTTTTAAATGACAGTATTGTCATTGCATCAAGCCTCTCCTGTAGCAAGATCCTCAGTGCATCTCTAATACATTTCAAGGATTTCAAGGCTCCGAATAAACACTAAGAGATGGATTATGACTGACCATTCTGTGGCTACAGAGGGTGATGGATGTAAGGTGCTCCCCTAATTAATGTGCCCACATGAGGAGCATCAGGCTGCAGTCTTGCCCAGAAGGCAGAAGCACAGGATCTGTGGAATTGCTCTTCTTTGGTTCTCCTCACACAGAAAAGAGAGCGAGCTGGGGCTCTGTCCTTCCTGCTCCTCCATGTTTGGACAAGGAGAGGTAAGTACAAAGCACATCTCAAAGGAACACAGCTATCAAGGCTTCCCACAGTGCAAATAAAGAATTCTAGGAAGTTTCCTTCTTTACAAAGCAAAATGCTTCCTGATCTCCCTATATAACATTACCTCCCAATGACAATTTGACTGATTAACTGAATGGTGGTTCAATCTGCTCCAAATTTCTTACACTCCATAACAAAGCTATTTGAATCTATAGGTGCAGCATTTCCTGTTGTACAGTGAGATGTAAAGATTCCTGGAAGCTTCAGCTGAGCATCTCACTAGTAACATTCCCAACCAGGGAAAGCAATTGAGAGCCAAAGGGTTTGTGGGTTTGGTTTTCCAGTTTTTTTCCAGCTGTTAAACATTGGCTCAAAAATGGAAAAGTACTTTTTTTCTTTCCCAGATAGTTGTTTAATCACTGCTTGAGGGTGAAAAGAAGTGCATAGGAGCAGATGGCAAGAACATAGGATTTAAGCAGGAGACAGATGTAACCATATTAGGGAGCCTGGAAGATAAATCTCTTGAAATCTTGTGACAGACATGATCATTACTTTGTTTACATAGATGAAATATAACTTATTTCACTTAACAGTTGCTGTTAACCATATTTGGTATCTTTCCCCTTCAGATGGTCAATAAAGCCTGTTGTAAATGATCATGTTTGTGCTACTTTCATACAGTGCATAAATCACGTAGGCATCCCAGCACCTCCATCCTTTTTGGAAAATGTGTAGATAGATATTTATACGACATAAAAAATGGTGCTTGCTTCCTTTTAAGCAGTTTACCAGTAGTGATGTGCTGTCTCTGGTGATGTACCAGGGAAGCAGAAAAAGAAGGACATCTGCATTCAGCCTCTGTGCTGCCAATCCGGGCTTTGTCTCTGGCTCCCTCCGCGGTGATTCCAGCAGCATCCGTGTCGCAAACGCGGTTCTGGGTTCCCTACAGCTGCAGCGTGGGAAGGCAGCACAGCAAGGAACAGCATTCTCCTTCTGTGGGAAAATCCATAGGTTGTGTGAGAAACAGTGAGGAAATACCGTGTTATCTGTGTGCAGACACGTGGAAAAGCCTTTGCTGACCTTGGGAAAACAATGTTTTGCAGATGTGAAGAGAGGAAGTCCTCTTAAAGCGGCTGTGTGTGTATGTACTCACTTTACATGTAAATATATATATTTACACGTGTGCTTGGGAGAGTTCAGAAGCTGCTGCTTGGATACACTCTTTTAAAAGTTGTGATTTTAAAAATATTAAGAAAAATCCCAAGCTGGTTCAGACTGCTCTCGTGTTGTTCTAATTCCAACTCATCACTTCATAGTTGTCGGAAATGAGGAACCAGCAGATGTGTGAGCCCAAGGAGGTGTTCTAGCGTTAATCACAACACCTTTGGGAACAAATATTAGCACATCAGCTGAGCACAGACAGTGAGAGGAGCTGTGAAACATCCATCTACTCTTCAGCATAGCATTCTTAGTAACATTTTTCTCCTCTGGCTCTAAAACTCTAAACACATAGGGTGTCTGGGTTTATTTGAACCAGATTTCTCTGGTACAGACGCTTTTATCAATGAATTTTTTTTTTTTTTTGCTTGGATTCAAATTCAACTGAATGGACTGAAAATTTCATTTGGTTATGATTGAAGTAGGAAGCTCATCCTCCTTATTAAGGAGTAGAAACTAATATATGTGTATTATGTATTAAGCAAAAAGAATTCCTCCAAAAGGAAAAAGGAAGATGGTGGTAGTTACGGCAATGTTATATTTATCCCATTCTGACTCCTATTTTCCCTTATAATGAAAGCAAGGAAATCACAGAGGATCACAGATCAAAAAGTAGGATTATGTAGGTGTAAATGTCACAGACTGTGCACCTTGCTAGAACCTGAATATTAATTGCACAATTAATATTAATGGCACTGCATTTATAGAAGATCTGTATAGGTAAGCACTCTAAAATCAGGAAATAACAGAATTAAGGTGGCAGATACCACAACTGTGCTGCAATTGTGAGAAAATGATTACACAGTTTCAACAAAAAATTATGCAATTTTCTTTTCATAAGTTGACGAGTAAATTTAGCAACATTTTGCATTTCTTTAGTGTTTCTCACCCTGATGTATTTGTGTGAATTAAGCACAGTGAGACTCATGGAATAACTTAGTCAAAGAGTAAGAATAGAAAATAACATTTACAGGTTATATAAATAAAATATTTCCTACTATATTCTCATTCCTTAGGTAACTACATACTTTAGCAGACATCCAGTTAGGGCATCTTCTATCAAACTGATTTTAACTGATGACTTTTTATGGCAATAACTGTTTCTAGATTCAGGCAATGATAGAAGAACTTTATTTTAGTGCCAAGCAATTAGTAATTAATGAACTAGGTACCAAAATGTAAGATACAATCTTTCAAATAATTTGTTACAAGATTAAAAAGGTATTTCCCGAGTACTTTTCTGCAGTACTCAGGAAGCTTGGATGAAAGGCAGCAAAATTAATTTGATTTTATATTAATGTATAGTTTTAATATCAGAGCATGGTATGTCCACTCATAATAAAGCACTATTTCTCCTTTTTTCTCAAATTGTGTAGAATTATTTGGGTTATAATCTACACAAGTAAAGCTGATTACATTAAAGTAACCTATATTAGGAATGTTTTATTCTAAATTGCTTGTGTTACCTTCTGTTAATGAAAAAGTATTATAAACTGTACTCTGCTGGCATTTTTATAGACTTAAAATTTACCTCAACAAGTGCCCTGGATTACAATGTCAACATTTCAGTACAGCTGCTCCTGCAAGCATGTTGTAGTTTGTGGAAGCACACACGTTTGGTGTAGCCTAAAGGAAAAATGGTTTTCATGTGTGAGATTAAAAATAGATAAATTTCCTCCTCTAAATTGGTAGATTATGTTGAAGCTGCCAAATGTTGATTTCAAAGAGAAATGTTATATCCTTTATCATTTGGGATGGTTGGGTACAGTGAAGTTGGTGACAGTTTTGTAGGGAGATGCAGCTTCTTGGGCAGTGAATTATAAAAGTAATCATCCCTAATAAAATCTAGGATATGTTTAAAAAAGCCCCTCTGAGATCCATAGTAAATAATTATTCAGAAGAATACTGCAAGCTGGCCAGGTAAATACCATTCCTAAATTGCTCTCTTAGGTGAAAGTTGGTGATGGCAAGTGTGGTGTCCTGTGGGCTGGAAGATTTTCAGCTGTGTTCATTCAGACCAATTGCCAGGAGTGTGTCGGCTCAGGTTTGGCCCTCTGCACCCATTCCCTCCCAAGCTGCCAGTCACAAGGTTTCCTGTTACTTTTGACAGCAGCTTTCTTCCTCATAACTGACTATTTTGCCATATATTTTCATCTAGTCGTTTCCTCTTTTCACTGCTTCCTGTGATTTGAATATCTAACAGCACAGCTGCAACATTGAACTAATAATGTATTTTAAATGGAATATTTAGGAAAATGGGAAATATCTGTATCTATAAAATAATAAGGAACATCAGCTATGCGTATAGAGTTGGCAACTCAGTATTGGGAAGTGGTTTCTTGGAAAAGATTCTGGAATCATAGATGAAAAGCAGCTAAATGTGGGGCTCTGGTGTAATTCTGTAATTCATTCTGTAAAACTTTTTAATATAAATGATGGCAAGACAGACAACATTTTCTTGTTTTCTCATTTTGCCTCTTGATGCGTTGTGTGCATGACTGCGTTCATAAACTGTGGAGAGATTTCTACTGAAGCACTGCCTAGGATGCCTGAGCATTTCTTAAATGATTTCCTTTGGTTTAGAACCCTCTGTGATGCCTACTCAGAATTCTTTCCTCCAGTATCCATTGTGTTGTACTGATGATTATTTATCAATATTGAATGTCAATACATTTTCTTCTTACACAGCTGGGTCACTCCCAGTATCTTCACAATCTGCCCCAAAATTTGGAGTAATGTTGTGTGTCCTAAAAATGGTGTCACCTTCTGTACCACTTTTTTTTCTAGATTATTTTAAGGGTATTTACAACAAAATTAAAGCTGCCTTACACTTTTGGATTTTCACGTCCTCCTGTTCAATCTCTGTTAGTTTTTGGTCTACGACATTGCTTTTTTCCTCAGAACCCATTTGGAAGGTTTTCTGGAAGCATTTAGTGAGAGGATTGTAAAATGTCTTTGAAAATTTGTAACCTAACCCATATATACACCCCTAAGCTTGTTTTACAAGATAAAGTAGTTTGTCTTCTGCTTTAGTGGAGGAGAATAGCTTACAAAAAATATCCCATTGCTTCCCCCTTCTGAGGTGTTTTTACTACTATTTCTTTGCTCTTATTCCTCAATTATTTTAGAGCTCTTTTTCAGCCTTAACTATTCTATGATTCTGTAATATTTTCTTATTTCTATATTACAAATGGTTGTGTTTCTAAATCTGGTGAAAGAATTTTTCTACCCACTGACTCACCTGTTGAAAACCTTGCAGAAGGATGGCATTTGGCATTTTATTTTCCTTTCATTTATTCTGGTTCAGAATGAATTGATACCATGCCAGATTAATGGAGTGAAACAAAACAAACAAACAAACAAAAACAACAAAATCAAACACCCCCCCCAAATAAAACCAAACCAAACCAAAAAAAAAACCAAACCAAAACAAAGAAACCTACCCCAAAAAACCACAAGAGGAAACAGTGTTCTCTTTCTAGGCAGAAAGCTTTATTAAAATTGGGGAAATGGCACTGTACCTAAAAGTAATGCTTTTCTTTGCTTATTGTCAAACTTGTGCCTGTAGTTTCACAAATCCTTCCTGCCTTAGTTCCCTGTCATGGATTTAAAAGCTGGTACGTTCTTTCCAGACTTGTTTACTTTGGATCATGGTACCTGGACTCTCACCAGCCTGCAAGTCTATTAAAAATCAGGCATTCTGCATAGCAGGTGGCTCTATATTTCAGTAAAACCCATAGCAGGTAGCCATAGACCCAATGGTAGCAGTTCCAGTATAGGAACAAATTCCTGACTCCATCTCCCATGAATATGAAGGAAGCAGTGTCTGTTTTAACTCCACGACAGGATGAAAATAAGTCAATGCACAATTTAATGAGATCAGGCATTGCTTGCAAAGCATTCAGAATATGTACAAATGGTAGCTATTAATTATTGCAATAACTCGGTGGGGTCAGAGCCTTGCCTGGCTGGAGCTGCAGATGGGAAGCTGGTGATGCTGACTCCTGTCCCCACGACAGCAGCACTGCCAACTCTGGCGACTGTAGAGCAACTCTTGCAAAACCTTGTGGTTTTCTGATGGTTTTCACTCCAGAAACGGTGTGAGCACCTTGAAGGCCTTGCTTTCCCCCGTAAGCTGATTATTCCCTAACAACTGTGGGAGCAGAGAAGGAAATCATAAAAGTCATTGCACTGCATACCTTGAGAACAGAGTTATTAGCAATGTAATAGTTTTTATTTGGGGGCCACTTCCTTTCCTAGCCCCTGTTGTCTTTTCGCTCTTTAGGGAGCGGTGCCTCACGGAGAGCTCAGCCTGGATTTGAGGAGTTTCAGGAGGGACCTTCTCCACAATGCCCTGACGGGAGAGGGGGGCCAGGTGGGGGTCGGGCTCTGCTCCCAGGGAACAAGGGACAGGACAAGAGGGAATGGTCCTAAACTGCACCAGGGGAGATTTAGGTTGGACAGCAGGAGGAATTCCTTCACAGAAAGGGTGAAGTTGTAAATTTAAATTAAATTTGCAGCCAAGGTGGCAGAACAGTGAACAGCTGCCCAGGAAGGGTGTGGAGTCTCCCTCTTAGGGACGCGTTCCTGTGTCACTTGCTCCAGGTTACCCTGCCTGGGCAGGGGGGTTGGACTAGATAATGCCCAGAGGTCCCTTCCAACCCTAACAATACTAGGATTTAGTAATTTGATATTGGAACGGGCTGCCCAGGGAGGCGGCGGAGTCACCGTCCCTGCAGGTGTTTCGGGACGTACCATCGAGTACCCCCAGTCTGATCGATCGCGGAGCTCTTTTCCAACCTCATCGATCCCGTGAGGGAGCGAGCGGCAAAACTGCCCGCCCTCAGCGCCGGGCGGGAGGGGCGGCGCTGAGGCGGCGCGTGCGCAGCCCGCGCGCGGCG